ATGGGGGGTGCTATCAGTCTCTCGATTTTTTGCTTTGTTTGCGGTCATCCGTAGGACAGTCTGAGTCTTTGGAGTTGGTTATCTACTTCAGTAAGGCACTGGATTTTCTCTATAGGCCATCGTTTGAAATTCTCAGGAATTCAGCCACGTTGAATGACACCCAGTTCCAAGCTAAGGCAACAGACCTCTTTAATTTGTGTTCTGGTCTGAGACAATTCCTAGGGGTCTCCTTAGGGGGGCATTACATGGCATTGGTACTCCAGAGAGCCTATCGGCAAGGAACATATCACTTCCTTTCTTATAATGAACTTGAGGTATAACTTCTGTAGACGAAGAAGCATGCATGGCTGCTGTTAAAGTGGATCGAAAACAATGGTCACAATCTGTACGTTGACGGACTCGCTACATAACATGTACTGGTTAAATCTCTCGCAAGGAAAGACCAAAAACCAAAAACTATTTCTGTATTTTCAGAGCCAAATCTCTCTCTTTTGATGTCAGGCACCACAGGCTGGCCATCCAGGAGCACGGCTGCACCCAAACCAGTCTAACTACCGTCGCACATATGGTGACCGGTGGTCTGCCATTGGTTGCTTGACACGGTCAAATGCATCTTGGTGGTGTTTCTCACTCATCCAGTCTGCGTTCTTGTCAATCAATCAATCAATCAATCAATCAATCAATCAATCAATCATTTACATACGTATCGTCTAGTGAGCTAATCGCAATGACCAGGGAACGCGGAGACCATTTTAAAGTGGTTCGGCTAAAAAATCTGGCCAATACATATAAACGTTAAGGTCAGTGTTTCGCTATTTATCTTGTATTTGCGTGCCATCTGGAGCCCTGGAAAATAAATTGCGGTAATAAAAGCGGTAGGGCTATAGCCCTACCAGCCCCTCCCCCACCACGGTTCCTGATGACTCGCACTCATCACCCATACTAATCGCAAACTTGACTAAGTAGTTTACAGATCCAAGAAATCGTTCTACTTCTTTGACTTCGCCTATCTGGGATTGCCATCGCTTGGATTGCCTGGACCTTCTCTGGGTCAGGTCTGACTTCGGATGGTTTTGATAAGTGGCCAATGAAGGGGACATCTGACAGTCTAGGCTTCAGTTTCTCGAGGCTCAGCTTTCATTCGACTTCTGTGGCTCTCTGTGGTTATGATCATGGTCTTGCAATGCCTCTTCTTCCCCTCTCCTTGGTCTCCCCCTTTCCTATGATTACTCTCCCCTCCACTTAGGAAGGCCTGATACCCAGGCTACGAGAGCCAGACACGATTGTGCAAACCACACCATTGGACACTTGAGAGAATTTTCAGTCTGTTTTCGCCTGTTACATCATATAATAGGTCACTTTCGATATATTAAAATCCAGTTTGATAGTGAGGCCTAGAAGACACAAACAAAAGAAATGAATAAACATGGTCATTCAATTTCCTTTGTTTGTGTCCTCTAAGCCTCACTCTACCATTCTTATCCCTAGTGTTACTCGAGCAAAAGATAGAGAGGCTCTGGAGACGAGAATATTAGCAGTCAAGATTGCGTGACGAATCATTGAAGAGCAGTCTCTTTTGAAACATGAAGGTGATTTGTGCAGGAATGCCAAAAGCTGGAGCAAAATCAATCGCCAAAGCTCTGCGCCATCTTGTACTTACGGCGTTTCATTGGGAAGAGCAAATCTTTGACTTTCTCGATCACTGGGTCAATGTTTTCGAAATTGGCATCAAGCCAGTGGTCGTGGGTCATCCTGCAGTCTTTTTCTACGAGGAAATTCTAGAAGCCTTTCCTGACTGCAAAGTGATTCTGAGTATTAGAGATGAAGATTCGTGGGTCAAAAGTGCTGTGAATCAAATAGAATTGCTGTATGCACGAAGACATAAGTTGTCCTTGTTGTCATCAACAGCGAGAAAGGCACATCACATCTTGGACCGCTGCATTGATGCTTCCTTCGGTTCTTGTAATCCCAAATCCACGTATGTTTTTAGAAAGCTATATAGCACCCCGGGTATTGCACCCATAATCACTGTGTAAAGTGCGTTGTTCCCGCTGCCAGGCTGTTAGTTTATAAAGTAGAAAAAGGGTGGAAACCGTCGTGTGATTTCTTGGGGTGCGAGGTTCCGACAATTTCTTTCCCACATGAAAATATCAAGGGTGAATTAGCAGCACACAAGGCGTTAGAATTGACTAGATCGGGCCGACAGATGAAAAGGGAAATGCAGAGGGGTGTATTGTTGATCTATTCTGTTCTCCTGATCCTTGCAGCAATATTTATGGCCAGTTGTCATTATTGATTGCTTTCTTCCATTGCTACATTTTGAAAACAGTTACAGTCACAATGTCCTTATCTCTTTATCTAAATTCTATATATTTCTTGTGCCTTCTTTTGGGAGGCTTTGGGTTTCAGGTCTTTCAGTTACTCAGACCTGTCATTCTCATCATGTGGTAAGGGAATATGGATCAATTGATCAATCAATCAAAAATCAAATATCACAGACTTTCTCATAATATGGACCCCTCCATATTAATACGTGAACATCTTGCCCAAGCCACAACACAATAGCAACAAGTGCATTGGAACTCCCTTGGCTGCCTCGTGGACCAGGCTGTCAGACAGACATTTTTAGCCTGCTTTTCTCACTGTTACTGTACGTAACACAAGCAATGTGTGAGTGGCAGTCATCAAGAGTTGTACAATCATAACAATTCCTCGGCTTGGTGTAAAACATACATTGTACCACACTACCACAACACATTATGATAGCAGTGCTTTTAATATTTAAAAGTAAAACTAATGTAGCTAACTAACAAACTGAGTATCTATTCATGAGCATTTTCAGAATTTTGGTACACTTCATGTACATCATACCAGCTTTGTTCCAAAACCAGTGCAACATTATTTATCTAATGCTAAGAATGCAGCCAATCACATGGCAAGAAACTGCTGCTGAATCAGCAGTATCTCATGGATATAACATTATAGTCATCTGGCATTGGGCGAAGTTTATCATAGACTGGTTAAATAAGTAATTATCAATGACCTTTGGATAATGTTTCCAAGCAGAGTGCAAAGAAAACCAATTTTCAGGCAAGGAAACTGTGATGTACAAGCTCAAAAGTCAATCTCACTGAACCCCCAAAATTGTCTTACTAGTATTAAAGTTAAACTTAAAATTAAACTAGCACAACAATTTCATCTCTCACTGTACTTCTGTAATAAGAGTTCTTCAAACATTCAGGCAAGTAAAGGGTATAATCCACTTGTCTGACTACAACTCCACTAGCTCCAGGCTACTGGACACCACTTGTTTTGCACATTGGTAGCTCTTTGGAAACAAGTTGTAAATTTTTGGCCAGTCTTTATGAAGTACAACATAATTAAGTCATACTAAGTCCAAAGGAGACATGGGTTAAATAGTAAACTATTTGCAAGTTTGTAAAACTGACATTTCAAGTTTGGAGCAAACACTCTGAATGTCAGCTTTACCAACTTGCTACAGCAGTTTATTTACCTTTATCAAGTTCATGTTCACAAAACATCAAAGTTTTACTGTCCCCTGATGCAGCACAACAATGTCTTTAGAAAATATGTTCATTTATGAGATAAATAGGTACAGAATGCTTTCTTAAGGTATACCATAAATATCCCTAATGTGAATTCAATTTCCTTCTATACACACAGTCACCTAAGGCTCACACAACTGTAAGTATACTTAAATACCAACCTAAAGGAGATATTTCATGGTATATCACAGCAAAGGATTGCATAATTCTGCAAGTTATACCAAAACTAAAGGTAAATAAGCACATCAGCCATAAGTCAAGCATCCCTGCAGCAGAATGTTGTTAATTAAATTAAATCTAATTTTGTTAAAAAAGTATTGTAGTCAATTTACAGCAAATATATTAATAATTTCAATAGTTTTCAGATAAGCGGCAGTTTTCTAAAGTACTCCAAGGCATCAGCTGCATGTTGTATACCAATGTTAAATACTGGATGTACCGGAGAAAGCACATTTTCCTGTCCACCCACTAATGTCAGCTTGGTTTGATATTTGTTGACAAAGTGTTGAGCCACAGATAACCCACTAAGACAATAACAGGTGTGATAAAAGTCTCGGGATTTGCCAGGTTTGTCTACCAGTCCCCCATGATGAAGTTGGCAATTTATTAATAAATAATCTTGCAAGGCTACTTGATCAAACAACCATTTCTCATCACTCAGCAAATTTCCATCACCACTGGCATCAAAAACAGTGTGAAGCAAAGGAAACACTCCACCTTGCCAAAACGAGTAGCAGCCATCAACCAGTTTGTTTGTTCTTCCTTGGAAACCTCCCTCCAAACGCATCTGGCGACTTGCCACCCACCTAAGAAGACGCTTGTTGTCAATTACGTTATGTTTCCCCAGCAACACTAATGCAGCATAACCGCAGAATGTATAACCTCCATGGGCTTCCAATCCAGGCTCACCTGAAAATCCACCTTCATAGGTCTGACATTTAGCAATCCACTCGGCTGTGCCCTCAAACAACTCTGGGGACATGATGTTTGTCAGATGCGCTGCAACAACTGCACAATAAGCACCTCGGATGTCCACTTCACCATCACGATGCATTGTAAATGCACCCTCTGATGTGCGGCAAGTTGCCAAGAATGACTTGAGCTTGGGCCTGTCAATGACGTCATATGCTTCGTTAGTTCCCAAGATGCACAGCGCGCAAACTGCGGCATAAGTTGGGGCCAGATGAGGAATTTGTTGTGGACCCCCTGCAAAGCCACCCTCGGAATCTTGACAACGCTTGAGAAAATCAGCAGTTTGCGAGTATTCCTCAACACCTATTTTTGCATTCAGTAGTTCTAGTCCATGTAAAATCCAGTAACAAAGCCACGGTCTGCTGGCGTCCAGACATTCGTAAGCTTCCGACAAGTGATGCAGGCCTCGCTTGAGGTACTGAATGTGCTTCTGGCGGAACAAGGGCAGTCCAGGATCGAGATTAGAGACCCGCAAATAAGCAGAGTAATTTCTCGCGACTGAACTTTCGACTTTTTCTTGCTCTTCAGAAGACACAGTCGACAGACCGTCGTCTTTAAAGCGAAGATCTTCCATAGGCTTTCCTGAATGGTACGCCATCTTGTCAGAGGGCGAGCCAGATGCTAGATACCAGACTACACGCGGTAAGAATGAGCTGTCCTTGTGACATCATAAGGATAGCCATATTTGGAGTACAAGAAAACATTCAGCCCTAGACGGGCACAGTTTGCAGTACCACCTGAGGATCGCCTGTTTTCCCTTGTTCTTTTTGCCTTGTTTTACAGTTCAGTTCAACTGTAGCTCACAGAGAATGGCAACTTTAAAGACGACACTTCGGCATAGGAGTCTTGATTCGCTTAGCTCTCCATTTAGTGCCGTTTTCACTTCGGTTGGTGTGCAACAAAATGAAAAGGCCTTGAAACTTGCATTCTATAACACCGCAGCATTGGTTTTTGTGGCGTTAAGCGGTTGTGCTGCAGTTGCGGTTTATTATGTGTTGGAGCCTTTCCTGCGGCCTCTTTTGTGGGCCTCTCTGTGTGGAGCCTTTCTATATCCTTTCAAGTGGAAACTAACTCAAGCTGTCCGAGGATTTCTCTGTTCTTTGCGAGAATCTAAAACACCTTTGGTGGTGGGTGCTATGGTGCTGCCATTTCACTTGGCCAATAAATCTTCAGACTTTGTGGGGTCGTTAATTGTACAAAAAATACGAATCTTTTTCATATTTAGTCTCATTGCTGTCGGAGTTTACGTGTTGTACATTATTCAGCCGTTTAATGAGATTGTCTGGATTTTAAAAGGATCTGGATTGGTGGTACACTTGCTGTTGGATTTCTTTTACAATCCCTATTTAGTAAGTATGGTACATGTAGGCTCAATTGGTAACTGTAAGCTTAAATGTTTCTTGTACTGTTTTACTGCATTACCTATTTTCTTTCTGTTTCACTTTCTGTCGACTGAGAATAAGTTCAAGTTAGTTAGAAAAGTTATTAGTGGATGGTATGAGGATCAAACATAGAAAAGTCTAAGAAAACTGGTCAGATGCCAGTATACCCTGCAGTAGGTATACCCCAGATGATGGTAACTGATTAAATCAGAATTGAATTAGTTACTGTTATCCTATGGTACATCCTCCGCAAGGCACCATTTAGCTACAGTGTAGAACCCAGGTAGCCTTAAGTGGCCTTAAGATGTAGTTGGTTGACAAATTTCTCAGAAATACGAGAGATCTTGAATTTTAAAACAGTGCAACTTTCTTGTGGGCAAACAACTACATTTGTAATCTTTTTCTCAAATGATGCCTTCAATGTCAAGTGTCTGACTTAAATGCACAAAAAAGTGCAGAAATTAATTTGAAGAAAACAATGTATGTAAATACTTCTCAAACTTATTGATAGTACATCAAGTTTAAACAAGGGAAATCATGACTGATGGAAAAAAAACAAAACAAAAAAGCAGTGTTTCTGCCAGACCGCACCATTGCGAGAACCCTGCCTTGCAATCAGAGATGGCCCACAGAAAAACGAAAAAAGGGCCAATTTAGCTCTTCCCTTTTACAAGCCTGCAGGCTTAACACAGGCATAGTATTTTAAAGCCATCCCAGGACTCAAAATTGTGACCAATACGGTCACCAATGCAACTAACATTTCATCCTTGGCGACCAAAAATTCTGGTTTAGTCACCATAATGGTGACCTACATTTCTCTATGTTGACAATCGATAATGGTTATATTCTCACTTATTATATGGCCAGCTCCATGAGCGGGCAAGATGAATCAAATCCTGTGCTGTGATTGGCTACCCAAGCGGGCAAGATGGAGCTATCTTGCCTGCTCG